GGGGGGAGAGGGGGGAGAGGGGGGGAAGGGGGGGTGGGGTATACGTAGCTATGTGTAGAAGGGGGGGGTGTATTTGGCTGTGTGTGTTTTAGTTTGTTGAGGGTGTGTATGCATGGCTGCGTAGAGGGGGGTGTGTATTTGGCTGTGTGTGTTAAAATTCGTCACCAGAACCACGCCCTTTCCAACCAGATGAGTAGATCCAAGATTGGAAGCAGCCTTAGCTGTGTGTACAGGGGAGCGCGTATGTGGGCACCATTCTTTCCGGCGGCAATCTGTCTGCAGCTTGACGACAACAGCAAACATATCGGTTAAACAACTCCATAGCACTCAATATAATATTATAATAATAACATCTGGAAAAAAAAAAGATAGTTTGCGCTACTCCGAGGATGTGGAGGAGGAAGCGGAGGGGGGAAGCGGCCGCAGGATAAGATAAATCAACGGTCCAAAAATGGGGATCAAGGATAAGGTCAATCCCCAGCGATCCTTACCTGACCAGTTCCGCATCGTCATATCGTTAAGTGCCCAAAAGGGAGTCATGACGTAAAGCATCACAAAGTCGATCGAGCTCACATGAACAAACCTGCTTTCCTGGAAAATGTGCCAGTAATCGACCACCCACTTGCCTCCCTCCCTAACTCCTAGGCCCGTAATGCCTAGCGCTGCCACAAGCAGAAGCCACGGAGCCAGTTTAGACTCGGAAACCCGATAGAACAGTCGATCCTTCTCCTTCTCGTCGGGGAGGATGGTCGACAGAGACGACGATGACGGCGGCTTCCACAGAACAAAGTACGGCAGCAGCGTCGTAGCACCCAAGAAGAAAGTCGCCGTCAGGAACGGCCAGACTGGGATTTTCTTTCCATCGCAGCGCCCGGACGGGATGAGAAGGAGCGTGTAGATGCACGGCATTATGCCGAGAAGGTTGAAAACAGCCTCGAAAATGGCATTCAGTTGCATACCATCATTTGGGTGGAGGTGGAGAAGTTTCTCAAGGAAATACATATCTCGACGAGGGGTCTGATTCGGCGACAGGAAGAAAGCATAACCAACAAAGCCAATCCAGATCGCCAAAAAGATAAAGCGGGATGATTGACCAAAGGCATCACCGTTGTCGCCATTCATCTGGGAAGAAGACAAGGAAGGCAATCCAGCTTCTGCCACAGACATGGCGATGGCGGCAGCCTCAGCGGCACCATCGTTTGACCCTTTGGTTGTTTTCGCATCTGCTCCCCCTTCCGATGACAATACCCATGCGGAGGAGGAGGAGGACGCTCCTTCGGTAGATTCCTCATCTTGAGAAGGAGTCACAGTGGCACACACCAGGAACCGACCCCTCGTCCGGCCGACGAAGCCACCTACCCTCGGCACACGAGGCAATGTTAGCGAGGGGTTGAAGGGGGGCGAAGTGAGGGTCAAAGCGTGAGCAAAAGAGGGCCTCGAACAGTGCATTTTTGTGGCAGTCGCAGTCTCATTTGCCACTGGAACTGACATGCACGTGTCAGTTCTGCAAGTCTGCAACTGATGCCTCGCACTTTGGCAACCAGAGGAGTCTCGAAGGGGAGAAGGAGCTGCACTGAGAGAAAACCGGGAATGGTGGTGGAATTCGTCGACAGTGTTCCTTATCTCCTTCACATCCAGGAGCACGGATGCTCTGTCGAGCATCCTCCGGTTCGTCCCTGCCCTCCATGCTGATGTGCACCCCAGCCACACAGCACGAGATGGACAATGACCAGCAGAGGACTCCTTCACTCCTGCTCTCACTCCGTCAACATCCCCATCCCGCTCAGCACCCCCGTTACGGAGAAATTTAGCAGACTGTGGCGTGACTCTAATCAACCCAGGAAGTCGATGAACAGCCAGAGCCTCCATATTCCCCCACTTTGCCACTACCACCCGTTTACCCCTGCTCTTGACACTGCATGCACCTCTCTCTCTCTCTCTCTCTCTCTCTCCTTTCCCCCCAAAAGATGCTACAGCGTTATCAGCAATATGTCCAGCATGAGTCTTAATTCCAGCACACTTGACATAAATACTATACGCTGTAAATTTTATACACCACAACAAGCAGCACCCTTTGGCTTACATACCGCGCGAGGATTCACCTTCCTTGAGGAGAGGAGAGGGCTTAGGAGGGCTCTCACAGATGCACTGCCCACACCTTCTGCTGTTCTGCTTTTGGCTATCAGAGCTGACGGATCTCACTCCTCCCTCCCTGATCTTTCGCCGGTATCAAGACTTCTTTCTTTGTTTCTTTGTTTCTTTTTTCCTTCTTTGCCGGTTTCCCACAGTTTCAGCAGGTCTTTCCAGTGCCTCCTATCTTATTGAATGAAGATGTCTGGTCCGACCTTGGTCTGCCCATGTTCACAGCATTCATCAGTGCTCTTCTTACACACACCCGCAATCCAAACGGATCGTCTCCACCCCGTGCCTGTGGGACTGTTGTGGATAGTCGTGTGGTACTCGGTACGGGACAATTCACCTCTCTTCTGCGGAACGGGAGGATTCACCTCACCTAGTCTTCTTCGGAATGGGAGGATTCGCCTCACCTAGTCTTCTTCTTGATCGTTCCGCCATGTGCTTCAGAAGGATGTGCCCTGCTGAAATGAATGTTGCACTGGCACTTGATCACCACATAGTACCACGCTGTACCCACCGAACCGCCACATAATCTGCGCGGGGAATAGATCACCCATACTCAGTCCAAACTGTGCATAGCTGTTGCCTGCAGTTACAGGCAAAGTTGGCACAAAACAGCATACTAAACAAGCAACAACAATCAGAGATGTGAGGCTGCAGATGAGGCTAAGCAACGCAGCCTCGCAGCCTCCCACTGAGAACACAACCTCCTCTGCAGCTCTCCTTGGTTCGATCTGCGCAGGGAATAGATCAGCTATACTCAGTCCAATGTGTGTATAGCACCTCCTATTGCCTGCAGTCACAGGCGAAGTTGACACAAAAAGCATAACAAACGCGCAACAACAACAATCAGAGATGTGAGACCGCAGACAAGGCTGAACGATGCAGCCACGTCGCCTCCCACCAAAACAAACTACTAGTACTTCCTCCCTCAGCAGATGCTTGCTCCCCTTTTACCCCACCCCACCCCACCCCACCCCACCATTGAGAGGGAGAGGCCGCGGAGTGTTCCTAAGGAAATCTTTCTTTCAGCAAAGAACAGTTACGGTTATATCGTTTCTAAATTCTAAGGGCATCTTCTCTGTATCACTCCAATTTTAACGGATGTGATCCCGAAGGGCCCATCAAAATGGCCACTCCCAACAACTGGCAACAAGCCATTTTGATGATGGTCCCATCATCAAAACGGGTACGACATCGTCGTAGTGACACTTTTGAAAAAGCCATTTTGATGATGAGACCACTGCAACGCATGTTCCCATAACCCAAAAGTGAGTAAGACCCGCTCTGACCAGACGGTGAGGTGTGAGGCACCGCCGCCGCCGTGCTCCTCTTTCCTGCTCCGCAAGGGTATCCCCAGGCGAAGCAGCCCACCACTCTGCCCACCCAATCAGAGTTCACCATCAGTTCCAATTGATCTCTTTGTTTCTTTTTTTCCCTCCATCTCCCGATTCCTACGGAATGATAAGTACGATTCTTTATATAAAAAAAAGTAGAGTGATTCTTCCCACTTTCAACACCCCCCCCACCGAAAGGGTATCCCCAGGCGAAGCAGCCCACCACTCTGCCCACCCAATCGGAGTTCACCATCAGTTCCAATTGATCTCTTTGTTTCTTTTTTTCCCTCCATCTTCCGATTCCTATGGAATGATAAGTACGATTCTTTATATAAACAAGTGGAACCCGCCACGGCTACGCCGTGGCGCACAGCAACACTCGCTGACGGCCTTTTTTTTTGTGTTTCATGTCTCTCTCTCTCTCTCTCTCTCTCTCTCTCTCTCTCTCTCTCTCTCTCTCTCTCTCTCTCTCTCTCTCTCTCTCTCTCTCTCTCTC